CCGGGGGATGTCGCCAAATTATCGCGCCCCACCCGGGCCCCACTGGGGCGGCAGGGCGGCAGGGCCGAGGGGGACAATGGCAAGATAATCCAGGATCGGGCATCGGTGCAGCCTGTTTGGCTATCGGGCCTGCAGGCCGCTGGCGGCAATGCTGGCGGCAATGCTGGCGGCCCGGCCCGGTCCCCCGACGGGACACTAGTGTCGCTACTTGCCACCGGAGATAGTGCTCATTGTAGCCGGCGATAGCGAGGCTAGCGAGGTGCACAGAAGGCCAATAATTAGACAAAACAAGGAAAAAGTGTAATTTTTTACTCAATTTTTTTTAGCAGATGATATCTTTACTTTAAAACAAACCTAAAACTACAAGACACATAAAGATGTCAGCTAGTTTAAAAGTGGAAGAGGCCAAAGCCCCTCCTGAACTTTCCCAGGCCTTTTCGAGAAAAAATGCAAGCCACCAAAATGCCATTGGCCAGTGTAGTGATACAAAATACAATACTTATTTTTATCAAGAGAACGTACTCTTTTCCGTGACACGTGTTTCCTTCAGGGGAAGAGATACAGTAACCCGCCCTGCAGGAAAAGACCACCCAGCCTCTTGCAAATTAGAAGTGCCCGGGGTCTCTCTCTCTCTCTCTCTCCGGCCGTATTGCACCAGGCTATCGTCCCGCCCGGTCTCTTGCCGCTACAGACTGACTCCGCGAGTCGCTCTCGTCTCTCTCGCACATACAGGGGGCACCCCATGAGTGCGAGAGAGACAGACGGAATCAGTCTGCTGCTGCAGCAGGCGGCCGGAGAAAATATTCCTCGGCGCGGTGCGCGGTGGGTTCGCGTTACCGATTTTCGTCGTAAACTCGGTCCTTCTTCCCTTTTGCCACTTTGTGCCCTTAATGGCGACCCCGCTTCGCCCCGCTCCCCGTTCCGCGGCTCCGCTACGCCCGGCGAGTAATTCAAACCTCCAGGGCGGCGCGGCCGAGGGCACGGCGAACAAGCGCGACGGAAAAGGCTTCGTTAAAAAAGCGTCAGAATGTTACCTGCACAAGCGTTACCTTTCAAAATTCACTGTACTATTTCCGTACTGAAGCCCGATATTTTTTCACGACGCGGGCCTTTTTTCGGCACGTCGCACCATCTTTGACCTCTCCGCCCCCCCCCCCTTCCCCCCCCCACACTCACACACACCACACACACACACACGCAAAAGCACGCACGCACGCTTTGCGTTGACGCCCGTGGACGGAAGCGACAAGAATTCAATTTACGCGGGGTAAGGCGTCCGCCCGGCCCCACAGACCGATTCCGAGATTCGTTTTTCGTCGCTCCGTCTCTCTCCCACTCATGAGGCGTTCCGTGGAGGTGCGAGAGAGACAGAGAGACGAAAACAACTCTCGGAATCGGTCTGCTGGGCCGGGGGCGGCGTGCGCAAGGCGAGTGCCGCGCCACTGCTTTGACGGGGCGCGTTCGAACGGAGGGGCGGCCGGTGCGGCAAGTCCTGGGCAAGCCCTGGGGGCTCACGGCCACGGTGAGCCCTGCGCTGGGGCCCTCGCCAATCACTACACTGCCAAACGGGACACGGGTTTGCTTTACGGACCAATATGGAAAAAGTTGACGCATCAAATACGTAAACAATGGGGGGAAAGTGGAGGGGAAAACACCGTGACCCAGTGGTCTAGAAGACTGCAGGAGGCGGTCAAACTCCCGGACGCGTTTCGAGCTCCAGAGTCGCTAAATGTTACTCGAACCGAACGTGTGACCCCACCAATGGATTGCTCTCCGAACGAGCAATCCATTGGTGGGGTCACACGTTCGCTTCGAGTCCCATTCAGCGACTCTGGAGCTCAAAACGCGTCTCGAGTTCGGCCGTACGGCGGCGCCGACTGCAAACAATTTAGCGCATCGAGCGGAATAAGCAGCATCAATGCCTCGGCTTGGCAGTGCCGTGGCAGTGGCGTGGCAGTGGCGTGGCAGTGCGGCGCCGTCGTGATTGACTCGTCATTAGAGCAGGAGTGCTCTGGCTGTCTCTCTCGCACCCGCACGGGAACGCGCCGCGAGTGCGAGAGAGACGGCGGCAGGCACAGCTCTGAATCGCCCGGCGGACCAGCTAATGAAGGCCAAATACTGAGGGGCGCGCGCAGCCGCGTCTGGCTCGGGCCGCCACTGCCTGCCGTCTGCTTTCGTCGCTCTGTCTCTCTCGCACTCATGGGGCGGTCCGTAGGGGTGCGAGAGAGACAGAGCGACGAAGCAGTGTTCGGAATCAGACGGCTGGCACACTGGCTCGGCCTGGCTCGGCCTGGCTTGGCCTGGCAGCGCAGACGGCAATGTTTATTCTCCAGAAATACAGGTGGAAAGAGAAAAGCGACACGGCGGGCACGGCGGGGCGAGCAGCTCAAAAGCTTATTTGAATTTTCTTGCGTTGTATAATTTAGGCGCCGGCGGGACGGGGCGACGGCGAGGAAGGGGAGGGGGGTTAGGGGGTGGAGAGGGAGGGGAGGGGGTTAGGGGGTGGAGAGGGAGGGGAGGGGTGCCGATCCGGGGCAAGACTCGCTCTGCTGCACTAGTAGCTTTGTCCAAATAAAGCCAGGCGACCACGTCGTGGCCACGTCGCCCCGCGGTCTCGTTAGGGAAGGCAGGGCGACGACGCGTGCCGACACCGGGTGGAGGAAAACGGAGAGACCGCCAGACTGCCGTCGCTCTGTCTCTCTCGCACTCATGCTGGGTTTGGCCGGGCTGGGCCGGGTCACACCCGTTCGGCCCGCTCCCATGGCCGTGGCCCACTGTGCCCCGCCTCCGACCCGCCTCGACCAGTGGCGGAGCCAGCCTGAGGGGGCGGCAAAAAAGTTCTCTTTACCAGCTCTTTGCCTTAATTTTTTTTGGCCTACCTTTCAGGCGGCTAATCAGGGGCATTGTCATTTTGCCCGCCCCACCCTCTCGCTCCGGATTTGGCCTCAGCTACGCCACTGCAGTCGCTCCGTCTCTCTCGCACCCGGACGGCCCGGCCCGCGAGTGCGAGAGAGACAGAGCGGTGGCATCGACGGCCCCGCGTGCGGCCGCCGCACTGTATCGTGCGGCCGCCACACTGTGCGGCCGGGGGGCTCCGTGTCATCGAATGGTGGAGTGGCTCACGTCACGGCCTCTAACTATGAAAAATTGACGCGTACACCGCAAAACCAATGTCGGGCAGAAGGCAAACTTTGGCCCGGGCTTTTATGGGGAGCCTCTTAAAGAGAATGCCAAGCAGCCAAAGGGGACGAGCTAAACTCGTTGCGCGATTTCCGTAACGGCGGGCCGCCGTTTTAAAACGGGGGCGCGGCACTGCCGACACAGCAACAACGCGTTTCGGATATTTTCCCGTCTCCGTCGCACTCATGGGGCGTTCCGTTGGGGTGAGAGACACATCGCTCCGTCTCCGTCGCACTCACGGGGCGTCCCGTTGGGGTGCGAGAGAGACAGCGACGGAACGAATCCTCGGGCTGCCGCGGAAAACGCGTGGTGGCAGTTGCCGGCGTGGCCTCCCATCTCCATACATGTGTTTTCCATGACATGCCGCGGCACGCGAGGGCTCGTCTCGTCGGAGGCAGGACGCCGGGGATTGAATCCCAAAAGCAATTCCCCAGCGCGGCCGCGCGCGGCTGGATGTGGCTGCCGAGCAAACAGAGCCGACGCACTAGCAAATTTTAGGTTGTCACTTGATGACAATTTCAAGGCAAATTTTCCTGACAACACGCTGTAAGGATGTTGGTTGTCACTTGACGACAATTTCAAGGCTTATTTTCTTTCCAACACTGAAAATTTTGGTTGTCACTTGATGACAGTTTTAAGGCCAATTTTCCTGACAACACGCTGTGAAAATGATGGGTGTCACTTGATCACAATTTCAAGGCTTATTTTCTTTCCAATACTGAAAATTTTGGTTGTCACTTTGGTTGTAACATTCCTTACAAAGATAGTTGTCACGCCCATGCAACGAGTAAAGGAGCTTTTCCATTTCAAAGGGACAATGACATCCACCGTTTCGTCGCGTAGACACATTTTTCTTCACAGTGCGGCGACGCCGCTCATCGAACTGATAACGATCAATATATTGAGTATGGATTCGGGCGTGCGAGGCGTGCGAGGGTCGCCTCGGGGGTCGCCTCGGCACGCCCTCGGCACGCCCTCGGCCTCGGCTGCCTCGGCCCCCGCGGAGCCCTGCGTCCGCTAAATCAAGGGCGGGCGGCCCCCTCCCCAACTTGTGTACTAATTTCAACTCGCTGGCGCCAAATTTGGTCGTAAGTATGTAGCTCCGGCCGAACACGCCCGCCGCGCGGCCTGCTCCCGAGCGGCGTTCGGCGTGCACACGGTGCGCACACTGCCAACGCGGCAGGCTCATCAGCAGAGAGCCCAGAATCTGGGCACCTTAGTCGCCCAGGAACGAGACACCTGAGCATGCTCCACCATGGGAGAGGGCCGGTTACTGTATGATTTGTCCACCCGGGACTGGGCACCTGTATTAAGAGTGTACCCATGCAAGCAGGACAAGGGGGTCATGACCACGGCCCTGATCGGGCGACTGACAGGGTAGGCAGGTTGTCATGCATTCCACCCGAAGGTAGGCAAAAAGCACGGTTCGACCCCCACCGCCTTCCCCTTTAAAGAATTCAAGCGCACGCAACGCTGACAACGATCAAAATGACAAAGTTCCCTGTGTCGCTGTTTACTCTTGACTCGTTTTTCAAAGGTTTCAGAAGCGCTTCTGAGAAACAGAGGCCCTCAGCCGAGAAGAAATAAAAGTGCAAAGATTCGACCCTCCCTTCCCCCACCCCTTCACCGCCCACGCTATTTGTCACACGGCGGCCGCCCCACAGACAGCCCACCTCGCGGCGGACCGATTCCGAGATTCCCTTCTCTGTCTCTCTCGCACACACGGGGAGTTCCGAACGGGTGCGAGAGAGAGGACGACTCTCGGACAGTCTGCAGGTAACGACGCGGGGAGAAGGACTCCGGAAGCGAAGCGGACTCACCTTGGTGGAGTCGGGGCGGTGGGAGACTGGGTCGTTGCGTCGTCCGGCATGCACGTCCACACACGTCCAGATCACTCACTAGGCACTGCCACACTGCCAGGGCACTGCCGGGGCACTGCCGGCCGCAGAAGCACAACACCGTCAAATGGCGGCACAAACACAACACGCAACAGGCCGGTGGGGCGTCGCGCTGCAGTAAGTCGCTGGCGCTCTTGTCGTGTCACGTGGTCTTCTTCGTCACGTCGGTGGCGTCGGTGACGTCGGTGACGTGGGCGACGGGGAGAGGCGTGTTGTGGCAGGCGGCGCGCTCGGCACACGACCACCCCACTGTGAGGAGACGGCGCGACTGGCTGCCGTTGGCGCGCGGCGCGCGGCGCAGGCCTTAAGCGCAGGCAGGCCGGCAGGGGCGTGCTCGGAGCGCAGAGCGGCGGAGCGCGGAGCGACTCGGCAGCCGTGCCGTCGCGTCGCGTCGGCCCGCTAGCCCGCCTGTTGGCGAAGTGCGGCCCGGCCCGGCCAGAGCCCGGCCGGCGCAGCGAGGCAGGCGAAGCGCCGAAAGCCCCTGGGCAGCCCGCCCGGCACGCCGAGCGAGCGAGAGAGCGAGAGAGCGAGGCGCAGCGCTGTGTGGGCGGGAAGGCGGTTCGCGTCCCCCCGAACGCAGCCCGAGCCGGCTGCCTCCGTTCGGGCCTTCGGTTTGGGCCGTTCGGCTCTGCGCCTCGCCTGCCGCCCGGCGTTCATCCCTTGGGGACAGGGCGCCTCTCTCTCTCTCTCTCTCTCTCTCTCTCTCTCTCTCTCTCTCTCTCTCTCTCTCTCTCTCTCTCTCTCATGGGGCGTGCCGTCAGGACGCAAGAGAGACAGAGTGAAAACACTGTTCGGAATCAGTCGGGGGTGGTGGAGGGCTTAGAGCGACTCGCGCTAGACATGGCCATATACGCGCCGCGGCGTGCCACGGCGTGCCCAGCGTGACCCGCCGTGCCGTGGCGAGCCGCGCCGCGCACGAAGCAGGAGGTTGGCACTATCAATCAAGATCGATTTCGGCTTCGGCCGGCTTCGGCCACAGCCAAGGGCAATCTTCCACGGCACTGGCAGGGATCATGCGGCGCGGCCACGCGGCGCCCCCACAGGTCGAGCTATTTCCTCCCTGAAAGGTTACTCACTGATAAGGAAACATTTAGGCCACACCGCGCGGTTACGTTCGGAAATTATTTTTCAGCGTCGTCTTTATGGCACCAGTGGGTCGTTTTGGTCGCTCTTTCTTTCTAGGCAGCCTGTACTGGTGTGAGAGGATCAGAGCGATGAAAACGACAAGGGCAAAAAACAGGCAGATTTTAGGCGTAAAAAGAAACAAAATACAAAATGAACTCGTACAGAGAGCAATCCATTGATGGGGTCACACGTTCGGTTCGAGTCCCGTTTAGCGACTCTGGAGCTCGGAACGCGTCTGGAGTTTTGGCCGCCTCCACCGGTCTGCTGGCCCACTGTGGGGCGTCGCGTCATGGCTTGGCTCCACGTCCACGTCGGGGGCGTCGGGTTTTGCCGTTTCCTCCGCGTACATCGAGGTGGCCGGCAGGCTGATTCCGAGAGGCGCTTTCATCGCCGTCTCTCTCGCTCCTGCACGGACCACCCCGTGAGTGCGAGAGAGACAGAGCGATGGGAATGCGGGCCTTTGCCCGGCCTTTGCCCGGCCTTGCGGGGCGAGATCGATGCCACCAGGTCGATCGGACGGGCTGCGTTGCAAGAACGGGCTCGCTTCGGACTCGGCCAGCCCACGCCGTGCACATTTAGACACTCGTTCGGATGCAGCGGGCCACCGGGGCGCCGGGTGCGCGACACAGTGGGCCAGAGGACCGGTGGAGGCGGTCGAATTCCCGGACGCGTTTTGAGCTCCAGAGTCGCTAAATGGCACTCGACCCGAACGTGTGACCCCACCAATGGATTGCTCGTTCGAAGAGCAGCGGCCTGGCGTCCCCAATGGACCTCTCTGCTGCCAACATGATTACTTCCCCTTTCGCATTGCGATTGCCCCGGCAATACGCCGAACAGTCACGGGCGGCCTAGGTGCCTCGCTCCCCATGGGCTTTGTCTTAGAAAAAAACGAACAAAGCGCTTATTTTTAGAGGTGGCCTCACTCATAATTCAGAAGCCGTGACCGGGGCGCGCTAGGGAAGCTCCATGGTGGAAGTGGACTGGGGTGGGGGCGGTGGCGCGCCATGCTCGGTGCCATGGCGGGGCGGGGGGACATTTGAGGGCACAGGGGAGATCCAACCTACAAACTCGAGTCGAGCTATCCTCCAGGGTGCTCCGTGCCCGCCCCGGCCGGGGAGCCCCGGGGCTTGCTCCTGTAGTATGAGCACCCCGCGCAGCGTTTGTCTCACTCCCGGGCTGGCAAGCAGGGCAGGCAAGGCCGGCAGACGGAGCGAACCACACTTAGCGAGGTGCGGGAACGAGCATCAAACGACAAAGGGCGTCGACGAAGCAGGCCGTCCCACAGTGGGCCAGAAGACCGGTGGAGGCGGACAAAATTCAAGAGGCGCGTTTTGGGCACTGGAGTCGCCTACAGACTCTGGAGCTCAAAACGCGTCTAGAGTTTTGTCCGCCTCCACCGGTCTTCTGGCCCACTGTGCGTACCGCGCTGCATAGTGGGCCTGAAAAGTAGGCAACACCTTTCCCCTGAAAGCTGGCTAATATTGTTACTCCCCCCTCCTCTCAGGCCGACTCTGGATCCGCCACTGTGCCCCGGAGGCACCATAGCACCCTCGGAGTGTGCGGGCAGGCGCCGCGGCATAGGCGCGGCATAGGCGCGGCGTAGGCGCGGTCGGGGACCATTGTTCGACACACGATCGTGCACGCAGAGCGAACGCAGAGCGAACGCAGAGGGAGGCATTTAGCCTCGGCATTCGGCACGCACTAGGCAGCCCTCGGCCCGTCACACGGACGGGCAGACAGACAGGCAGACATAAAGACAGAGACACACAGACAGGACGAACAGGCAGACACAGACACACACACAGGCAGGCACACACACCATGGCATCCCCTTCGGCTGATTTGCATGACGTCACGCTGACGTTGAATCGATGCAGTTGATAACCTGTGCGGCTCGCGAGGCGGGGCGCGGCGGGGCGCGGCGGGGTGCGGCGGGGCTGGGTGGTGGAGGAGCGCGGTAGTTAAAGTCGAATTCCGTGTCGAGCGCCGCGGGACCACCAGAGAGGTGCTCAACACCACCAAATTTCTGAATAGCGCCAGGGCGATAGGATCCGTCGTGTCCACGGGTATAGCTTGCTCTCTCTCCCTCCCCGTCGAACACAGACGCCCAGCCCAGGCGGATGTTGCGGCCCGAGATCCCTACGCCGCCAAAGGCCCCCGGGCTCTCCGCTACACTGGTGCGCCCGGCCGAATGGGCCGAATGCCCTTTGCCTCCACTTCCACGCCAACGAGTCCGTCATCACCACGTGTCTGTCGGCCCGGGCCATAGAGGCTGCGCCACTGACAAAGACTGTGCCATAGGGGCTGCGCCATGCGCTCTCTATGGCGCAGCCTCTATGGCACAGCCTCTATGGCACAGCCTCTATGGCACAGCCTCTATGGCACAGCTTCTAGGGCACAGCCTCTATGGCCCAGCCTCTATGACACAGCCTCTATTGCACAGCCTGTGTGGCACAGACTGTATGGCACAGCACAGCCTCTATCGCACAGCCTCTATGGCGCAGCCTCTATGGCGCAGCCTCTATGGCGCAGCCTCTATGGCGCAGCCTCTATGGCAGCGCCATGGAGGGGAACAAAGGTTGTGCCATAGAGGCTCTGCCGTTGAGTCTGTGTCATAGCCTAGAGGTGACATTGTGCCATAGAGGCTGTGCCGTGCAGCCCCTCTGTGTTTACAGGCCAGTCAATGTCTGCCGAAAGTCGAGGGCTCCTAAATAGCCGGAGGGAGTCAAAACCACCCCTAGCCCGCCCCCACCCCGCCCCCACTTCATTGCACGCCGCCACTCTCCCGATGGGAATGTTGGGCGACCCGTCTGTCTGTCTGTCCGTCCGTCCGTCCTAGGGCTATTCACCGCGGTGACCCGGTCATCAGGGATGAATTAACACGGCGTGAAAGTGTCCTCCCCTCCGCCGTAACTCTGCCGCCACGTGTGCCACGTGTACCACGCCACCGTTACTTCGTCCGCTTCGGCCCCGCGATCGATCCTGCTCGTCAAACACGTCAAATTTCTGTCAAGTCACTTTTTCCTGGAGCCGAAAATTTATCGCCTCCACATTTGTCCGCCGTTGGAAACTTTTTGAAATTCCAAAACTACTGTTATGGATTCTTCTTTCTGTTCCAAAATTAACTTTCTTGAGACTCGACAATTTTTTTTAATTCCAAAACTTTATTGGATTTCGGAAATTCTCTTCCCTTTTTTTTCTTTCAGACTTTACAGGTTGTTTCCTTTCTCATTTTTGTCGAGTCTTATCGATGTCTTTTCTCTCCCCTCGGGCCCAGCGGCCCAGCCGTGATAGCAGGCACGCCAACTGTCCGCGATTGCTGCTCAGCCAGTCCGGTGCAATAAGGCTGCCTGCCGTGTGTCTCGGCCGGATTGGCGCGGAAATGTCAGTGGTGCCACCATGCCGGCCGGTCACGAGCGGGCCGTCGCTTTGTCTCTCTCGCACTCATCGGGCGTCCCGTATGGGTGCGAGAGAGACAGAGCGACGAAAAGGGAATGAGATGCAAGAGAGAGTCTGAAGTCAGCCGGGCAGCCCGGCAGCAAAGCAGCCTTCAGCGCCGCAGCCGCCAGCTGGCCAGCCACATGGCCTGGTAGGCCTTCGGCAAGGCCTTCGGCATGCTGTGTGTCTGTGCCCTCCGTGCCAGACCGATGCACTGTTGGAAAAGTACCTGAAAGTGGATCCGGCGCTCTGTCGCACTCATGAGACGTCCCAAACGCGTTCCGGGATTTTGACCGCCTGCACCGGTCACTGTGCGCTGCCCCGTGCGTCCAGCCCAGTGTAGCCCAGTCCAGCCGCGGCGGTTCGACGGGCATAGGGGCACAGGGGGTGGTAGGAGGGCCACCGGGGCCGCCACCGGGGCACCGCGTATCGAGACCAGACGAATAGCCATCGACCCGGCATCGACCAGCGCGTTCTTATGTAGGCGGCCACTTAGCGACCCGCGTAGCGACCGGCCTGTGTTTACCGGACTTCATTTGTCTTCCGGCCCGATCCAACCTTTTCGCCTTACGCGGCATCCCCCCGTTCGTGCCGCACAGTGGGCCAGAAGACCGGTGGAGGCGGACAAAACTCCAGACGCGTTTTGAGCTCCAGAGTCGCTAAGCAGGCCTCGAACCGAACGTGTGGGTCACACTAATGGATCGCTT